ACACACACACAAAAAAAAAAAAAAAAGTGGCAATGTATATTTGCATGTTCTAGGCCAAGATTCATTCCGATTTTGCTCATCGTGACGATCGAAGTAGCCTCTCTCAATCTCTCTGCGCGCATGGCTGGAATGCAGTGTATATTTCCATGTTCTAGCGGAAGATTCATTCCGATTTTGCTCATCCTATTGATGGAATTAGCCACCCTCTATCTCTCTGCGTGCATGGCTGGAAAACTCTCTCTCTCTCTCTCTCTCTCTCTCTCTCTCTCTCTCTCTCTCTCTCTCTCTCTCTCTTTCTTTTTTCTTTTTTTTTCTTCCCTTCGGACACGCCGGGGTTGAATAAGCGACACGCTGTATACCAACCGCTGTACTCTCTCTCTCTCTCTCTCTCTCTCTCTGAGCGGGGTTTCCAAGGACGACGGCCGCCGCGTGCGTGTCTTTCTCTCTCTCTCTCTCTCTCTCAGCGGGGTTTCCAACGACGACCGCGGCCGCGTGCACGGCAGTGTATATCTCCATGTCCTAGTAGAAGATTCATTCCGTTTTTTCTCATCGTGACTATCGAAGTAGCCACTCTCTACTTCTCTGCGCGCATGGCTGGAATGCAAATGAATGTATATGTCCATGTTTTGACGGAAGATTCATTCCGATTTTGCTCATCCTATTGATGGACGTAGCCACTCTCTCTCTCTGCGTGCACAGCTGGAAAACTCTCTCTCTCTGTCTCTCTCTCTCTCTCTCTCTCTGTGTGTGTGTGTGTGTGTGCGCGCGCCCCCCCCCCCCCAACACGCCGGGGTTGTAAACGGGACACGTTCTATACCAACCGCTGTACTCTCTCTCTCCCTCTCTGCAAGGTGGATGCACGGCCCTGAACGAACGACTGTTGCCGCGCGAAAAGCAGTCCACCGCTACCCGCCCGAGCCGAGTCCGGCCAGAAGCCAAAAACGGGGAAAAAAAAAACAAAAAAAACGGGAGGGCCTGCTACCGGTACCTGCTCCCAGGCCAGGCCACGGGAAAAAGGGAGGTACCACTAGCCTAGACCACCTCCCGTTTTTGCCAGCCCAGGCCACCTCCCGTTTTTGCCAATTATTGAACCGGTAGGCCGTCGAACGCATAGTCTACTGTTTTTCTTGCAGTTTCGAACTGGGCCTCGCCCAAATTTGCAGTGGACTGTTATTCCTGCGAATTCGAAACTGTGCAGCCGTCACCCGCGGAGTTATTTCAAAACAAAAAGATCTTGCAGAACGAGAACAGGAGTCTCGTGGGGAGCAAAAATGTCCTCTGTTCTGATATACTACTGTACGATACCTGGGCACTTTTCGAACTGTTGGCTCTCAGGTATATGGAGCAGGCGGAGCAAAGAAGACCGATGTGCCAAACGACAACAACAGTGGAAACAGACCACAGGCCCACCATCTTCAACAAAGAAGAAAGACCAGACAGACTAAGGGCACGCTCAACGTGCGGTACCAAAACCGCATATTCCCCAAAATCCCCAAAAAATGGGGTCAAGGGGTAGTCACACTGGGTGCACAATTTCGCAAATCACTTATTCCCGAACCCTTTTGTCAGCGGCCTGAGAGGCCGCGGGGGTTGGGAATTTGCGGTAACCTTGGGAGGTTACCGCAAATTCCTTGTTCTTTTTTTTCTTTTTTTTTCAGAAATGACTTGAGAATGGAATGGCAAGATATGGGCGCCATATCAATTGAAAATGAGGAATTTGGGCAAATGGGTGACCTCCCGAGAAGCGAGTCCCTGAACAACGAAGACAAAAAAAAAAAAAGAAAAGCAATTGAGGGAAATGGGTCGGCTCCGTGTGACTGGCGACCTCCGCAATTTCGCACTGGCCGACCTACCGCGACCGTGGAATGGGTGGTTTGGGGACACAGTGTGACTGGCGCCGCCACTATATCCCCAAATCAGGCATCCATATTTTTTAAGAATATGCGGTTTTGGTACCGCAGTGTGAGCGTGCCCTAATCAATGTAGACCGGGGTACCAATACAAACTACAAGTCAAAATAGGGTTGGGCTAGTGGAAAAGCCACTCAGTGTGGCAGACACAGTCAGGGAACAGCCATATAACACGCAAATCATGCTCAGGGATGGGCTGCACTAGGGTTGGGCAAGTGGAAAAGAGGAGCTACAAGTTTGGTAGGGTGACGCGGCAGCCTAAGGGGAAAGTAATCAGGCCCCTGGGGCTAGGTCCCGCTTGCACGAATTAGGAGATACTGAATGTAGATAACAAAGATCAACAGCCGAAATCTCCTAATCGGCGCAAGTGGGACCTTGCCTCTGGAGTAGGAAAAGCTGAAGCTTCAGCCCCGGAGAGAAGGTAGATGTGATCATTGCTGTGTAATGAGTATATCCAATGGGACGCTGGACCCGAGTCCCAGCAGGTGAAGCTCCCCGCCAATAGATGGAGCAACCCCACAGGCAAGCCCTCAATCCTAGTGGTTCTCGTACCACCACCAGGATAGTGGGCTTGCAATGCGGTTTTTCTCAAAAAAAAAAAAAAAAAAAAAAAAAAGA